GATTTGCGTCGCTCGACGCACCTCCCTTGCGTCGATCGACGCAACACCCAGAAACCGACTCCTCGCGAGTCCAACTTCGTGTGTCGATCGACGCACTCCCCNTGCGTCGATCGACGCACCACCAAAAATCACATTTTTGGTTCACGGGCGTTACAATAACACTATTGGTTAATTTAAATCCTACGTGGATAGTTTTAAAAGGTTATAGCTTCAACTTGTAAAAAGGGAATATAAGTACCTCGACATCATTCTACACAATCCAAAATTTTTTTTTTGGCCAAATATCTTCCTTTGTATAGCCGTGACTATAAAACAAATGCAAGTTTATTTAATTGATAATAAATCTTTGCAGAAAAAGTGATTTTCAGAAACGTATCTTTGTGCTTTAAATATAAACTACCAAATAATAGTAACTACAAAATAAAAGAATCAAAACAGAAAAATAACAAAAAGATACACGTGAAAGATAATTATTACGAAAGAACATAGACATCAGTTTAATAAACCTAAATTTATTTTAAAAAATAATAATAAATACAATAACATTATAAATTATGCATATTGATACTCGAAATCACTATATATAATGCAACACATAGTTGGAGAATGGAAAATTAACATTTTTTTATAATTTTGTTAATATAGTTTGATATGTAAATATACGATTAAGTTTTTTTATAGGAAATATACATTTAATTTTCTTTTCAGAATGCCTAGTGTTTTTCTAAAAAAAGTGTTAATATGACATCTATTTTCTTATTTTTGTAAATTGCTATGACATATTTTCCTTTTTTTTCTTTGATGACACTAATAATGGAACAAATCAAGATTTAAGAAAATAGAAATATCTGTTTACAAAAAAAATAAAATAATTTATACTAAATGTTTTAAAAGAATTGGAAGTTTTCTATTAAAAACAAAAGAAAAATTAATTTAAATTTGTATATTTGACGTGGTATAACACCATTGGTTGATTTAAATCCTATGTGGACGCCTTTACAAACTTATAACCTCAACTTTTATATAGTATAGATATGTCATAATTTTTCTAAGATATGTTATAGTTTTTTCTTGGGTTAATTAGTGAAATAACATGGACATATAAATTAATAAAATAACAAGTGTAATTTAGAAATTTAGTAAGTTTCGACATGACTCTGGTCTAAGATCGGCAACTTTCAGGCTAATCGAAACATCTACAAACTCTTTCGAAGAGCTTCTCCGGCATCACCCGCTCTCTCTTCATGATTTCTGAGAGCGAGATCCAGCGATGGTTCCCGGCCTCACCGTCTGCTCCGGAGGCTATCGCTAGCTTCCCCTCTGAGATGACGGGTTTGGTGCGGTCGAGTCCTCCTCTTCCACCCGAGCCGCCGGACCCGCCTGATCGTCCGGCAAGCCCTCCTGCAACCTCGCCTCCGCAGTCCGCGTTCAAAGCTCTTCTCCTTCTACCTTCTCGGGTTAACTATCTAGTTCGAAACAGTACTAGACCTAGAACCTCAGATGGTTCTCGAAGCTGGATGTGGCTACCATCGGAGTGCCGCTCCCTCCGCCCTAAAGGAGAGGAACCGGACTCTCGAGATCCGTCGGCTCCCTTTCGACAAAGTGGATCTACCCTTCTCTCCTCAAGCGAACGCATCATTGGGCTCTCTACCCTCCCTATCGGCTTCACCCGACGGTCAAGGAAGATGCTCCGGTGAGACTGGAGAGTCTTCTCCGACCATCCCTGCGATCTGATCTCCTCCAAGATACTTTGTGTTTTGGGCCTGGCCCAACCCAATTTTTGGGCCCAAACAACAACTGGCCCATCCCCCAGTCTGAATCTTCAACCAGCCCACACGACCATTGACAACCTATCCCCCACAATCCACAACGATTGGGCTCGGCCCATTTCGAGCTTGAAGTTTATTGGCCCATCAGGCCCACCCCTCAAACAACATAAGCCCAGGTCATATTTTGAGCGTTATTTGATTACATTTAAAACAATGTCTGAGCCATATGCCTATAGAGGTTTTAAGTTTTCTGGATTCTATCCTGTAGTTTTTATCGATGATATCTTCTCTCACTAGAGAAGAGAAAAGTTTTCTGAATTCTCAAATCCTTTAGTTTTTATTGCTGATATCTCCTCTACTGAGAAGACAAAAGTTTTCTGGATTCTCAAATCCTATAATTTACTCCCGGTAGATGAGTTTAACTCCACCTTCTTCCGTCTCTTTGAGACATGTAGTACCTTCTTCTCTCTCTTGGAGAGTGGTCGAACTCCCGAGCTTTATGCCAAATCTTTAAACTCACAGTGTAAAGTGACTAACCTGAGAATCTCCGGCATTGCCGCGAAGACTCTCTTGACGCATCTGAGGCACGCCTTGGATTCGCTGTCCATCTTCTACGATGATTTATCTGCTTTATGTTTTATTGTATTTCAATTCTGTTGTAATGTGGGAGGATGCTCAATTCCCTCCCGATGTACTTTAATCGTTTAATGAATGAAGGATGAATGTTTGAGG